GCCCCGCGGGCCAATCAGAGCCCGCGCCGGGCGCGGGGGGCGGGGCCGGGCGCGGGGAGCGGCCGCGGGCCATGTGCGGGCTGCGCGGCCATGGCGGGAGCGGGCGGGGCCCCTGAGGGGAGCGGGGCCGGCACGGCCCGATGGGCCACGGCGGGCACCGCCGGGACACCCCGGCGGGCACGGGGATGGGGCACGGGGACCTCGTGCACAGCCCGGCAGGGCGCGGGGATGGGGCACCGGCACCGCCGCGATACCCCGGCCGGGCACCGGGATGGGGTGCAGAACACACCGAGAGCCCTGCCCGGGCCTGGGGCCGGGTCACGGAGCGCACCGAGAACCCAGAGAGAGTTCCCAGGGCCAACCCACCAGGACCCCTGCCCAGCTCTAGAGCCAGGTCCCAGTGCCTGCCCGTGTGGACCCCTGCCCGGTCCCAGTGCCCACCCACCCTCTGGGACCCCCACCCAGTCCTGGACCCCAGTCCCAGTGCCCTCTGGAGCCCCTGCCCAGCCCTAATGCCAGGTCCTGCTGCCTACCTGTTGGAACCCCTGCCTGGTCCCAGAGCCAGGTCCCAGTGCCCTCCAGGACCCCCACCCAGTCCCAGTCCCTGCCTGTGGAACCCCCTCATCGCCCCAGGACCCTCCCGACGGGGATGCTGGAGCATTGGGGTTCTGGGGAGAGGGTCAGGGTGGTCAAGGGCAGCACCTGGGGCTCCTCCTGTGACCCTAAAGCAGAGAAAAAAGGGAAAAAATGTATCAAAAATGATTTAAAAGGAAGGGGAGAAAGCCTAAAACCCCACGTCTGATCCCTGTGTGGGGCAGGGAGGGTGGGCTGCTGATGGTTGAGGGGGTTCAAGGTGTGGGGCTGCAGCTCTGGGGGGTCCTGGGTGTCGATGTCTCCATTCTGCCCTCATGACACACCCATTCTCATCACCCCAAAACCTCCACCTCTCATCCTACAGCCACTTCCATGCCCTGCTCTCCACTGGAGAAAACTGTGTGAGGTCCCCTCGGAATCAGGATTATGCCAAACATCAGCTTTGGGTCAAAATCCTCTGGGCTGTGTGACATGAAGGATTTGGGGTCGTGGTCCTGGTTTTTGGGTGTTCGATAGAGCTGAGGGAGACCTGGGCTCTCCCAGGTTTCATTTGTGTTCTCTGCCCCGTGAGAGCAGAGGAGGCAGAGCTCGTGCTGGGACCAAAAACCCGTGTCCTGGTGTGGGATGGGGACGTGGAATGGTCCAGGCTGGGAGAGGGAAGGGGCTGAGGAGCTCCAGAGGGGCTTTGAGGGCGACTGGGGGCTCCATCCTGGAGCAGGATGAGGTGGGAGAAGGGAGAGGGAGAAGCAGGAGGATGAGGATGAAGCAGAAGGGAGAGGATGAAGGATAAGGATGACGCAGGAGGATGAGGATGAAGCAGGAGAAGGGAGAGGATGAAGGATGAGGATGAAGCAGGAGGATGAGGATGAAGCAGGAGAAGTGAGAGGATGAAGGATGAGGATGAAGCAGGAGAAGGGAGAGGATGAAGGATGAGGATGAAGCAGGAAGATGAGGATAGGGAGTTCAGGGCTGTTCCCACCACAGGATGTGGTCAATGGGTGGGTGGGTGAGTGGGAAGAGCCTGGATGGCCCCAGGAGAGGGAAGGGAGTGATGGAACCTCTTGCTCTTCCTCCTCCTCTTCCTCCCCCAGCTAACCGAGCCCCTTTCAGCAGATTTTCTGAGCCGTTCACCGTCCCCTCTGCATTTCCCTTTGGTCTCAGGTCTGGGAGGTTTTAATGTGATGCTTCTCATGTTTAGCTGAAATCACTCTGCAAGCCCCCTGGAAAGACCATTTTTTTTTCCCCTGCTAATTTATGAGTGAGAAACCCAAGGATGCTTCTTCACCTTTGGATTTTTGGGAGTTTTCTTCTCAGAGGTGGCAGCAACACTTTTATTTTGTCCTGTGAACGTGATTTTTTTTTTTTTTTGGCTGGTTCCTCCCCTGTGATAAAATCAGTGTATAAAACATGAGGGATCTGGATGGTTTTTTTTTTTTTGAATGATGTCTTAAGAGATGATAGGAATGGGTTTAATGTATCTGTAAGTTAAGTGTTTTCAGTAAAACCACGTCTCAGCCTGGCATAAAATGGTTTTGAAAGCGGTGCAGCTGCTTCTGCTGTTTCCTAGAAAGGTTTTCTGAGCAGGCAAAAAAAGCTTCTAAGGGCCAGGAAAATAATAAAAAAAAACCCTGAAATTTCAGCTCTGTTTTATGCAGCAGAAACCTCTGAAATGTGAGGCTGTCAGATCAAGGGTTTAAAAATTGAGGGTTTTATTGCTTTGGGGGGGAGGTGGCTACTCATCATTTTGGGCTGTGCCCTTTTAAGTCTTCCCACGTTTTGTTTTTTTTTTTTTGTCCCCAAATCCTGCAGTTTGAAGGTTGAGGAGCTCTGGACGGAACAACTGAAATGGATTTTGTTTGGAGAGCTGGGGTTGGGTCGTGGAGAACGTGGGGTCCAAGGCACTGGGCTTGTGAAAGGAAGGGAGTTTGGAACCCCCCAGATCCCTTTGAAACACCCCAAAAGCAGCAGCTGGTTCCTTCAGAGTCCCCTCTGGGGCCTTTGCCTCAAGGGGCAGAGAATCCCTCCCTGCCAGGCTCGGTTCCCACCCGGAAAAATCCGTGCCCTGGGCTGAGGAGGGGTTTATTTAAAGGGATACTGAGGGCAGGCAGGAGCAGGGAAGGTGACAGCTATAAAAAATCCCAACCAGCAGAGGCGCTTCCCAGAGGTCCCGGTGAGGAGCTTAAGGCCCCTAATCCCGGGATAGAGCCGGGGCCGGAGCTCTGGCGGCTCCTGGATGGTGTTCCCGGGGGCTCCCCGGGCCGGGTGGGTTCTCCCCCGGCGTGGGGGCTCGGGGGCTGACCCTGCTCTGTGTCCCCAGCCGACCTTCCTGGTGGAACTGTCCAGAGTGCTGGCAAACCCAGGCAACAGCCAAGTGGCTCGAGTGGCCGCGGGGCTGCAGATCAAGAACTCCCTGACGTCCAAGGATCCCGACATCAAGGCGCAGTACCAGCAGAGATGGCTCGCCATCGACGCCAACGCCCGCAGGGAGGTCAAGAACTACGTGAGTGATGGGGTTCTGGGGGGTTCTCTGGCTGTGCAGTGTCTTTTCCATCGTTTTCCCATCGTTTTTCCACCTGCAGAGGCTCCCGGTGGCTGGAGCAGCAGCGGTGTCTGCGCTGGCTCGGGTGGTGCTCCTGGAAGGGTGTTTATTCCATACAGGAATTGGGGTGAAATCAGGACAAGGCTCTTCCTCCAGAGGGTGTTTGGGCGCTGGAATTCCCTGTGAGAGCTCAGGGAGGGTTTGGACAGCGCTCTCAGGGACAGGGTGGGATTTTGGGGTGTCCTGGGCAGGGCCAGGGGTTGGATGGGTGATCCTCGGGGGGCCCTCCCAGCCCAGGAGATTCTGGGACTCTGAGAGGAAAAGGGGTGATGGTTTTAAATTGCAGAATTGATTTGGATGAGATGGAAGGAAGGAGTTTTTCCAATGAGGATGCTGAAACACTGGCACGGGTTGGCCAGAGAAGCTGCCCCTGGATCCCTGGAAGTGTCCAAGGCCGAGTTGGACGGGGCTTGGAGCAACCTGGGCTACTGGAAGGTGTCCCTGCCCATGGCAGGGGGTGGGAGTGGGTGAATTTTGAGGTCTCCCATCTAAACCATTCCATGGCTCCTTTCCCACTGCAGAAGAAAACCTCCTTAGGGAAGGTTTTTCCTCCTTTTCCAAGGAACAGCTTCCTGAGGTGTTTTACAATCAATCCCCATCACCATCTTGGAAGCACAGTCTGTGCCTGACCACAGAGGCCTAAGAAGTTAAAAAGACTTTTAGGAGCAGAATATGGTAAAAAATTCCAAGTCCCAAATAGGAAATTAGATGCTTAAATTGTGGGGGGTTTGCCTGAGGACCCCCTGAGCTCTTTGGGGCTTGAAGTTCAGGTCTTGCAGTGGCAGAAGTGGTGGCTCAGTGGGTTTTTTTTGGCTGATGGGAGGAAAATGATGCTTGGATGTGAGCAGTGTGATCCCCTTGTTTTTTTAAAGAGAGATTTGTTGAAGAATACCCAAAAAACCCACTCTAATTGATTGCAATATGAAAGAAAATCACTCATCTGGATGATTCTGTAGATTATTTTGGCATAAAAACAATTGGTGTTTTGGGCAGGGATTTAACCCCCAATTTATGTTTCATGAATTTGCTCTGTAGTAATTTTAGTAATAATAACAACAACAACGACAATTTCCCTTTATAAATTTTAACTAATAATAATGATAATTTTGCCCTGTAGTGATTTTAAAATAATAATGTGGTGGTGATGATAACAATTTCTGCTTTGCAGTGATTTCTCTGTCCGGGTGGGGAGGGACTTTTGGAGCCCTTGCTGTGCCGTGGCACAGGGGCCGTTCCCAGAGCTAAAGGATGTGTTGGAATCTCAGCTGGGAATGTTCATCCCCAGCCTCCCTTCCCCGTGCTCGCTGCAGGGAGCAGGAATCCGGGACCCTGAACCCTTTCCCTGCCCCGTTTCAGGTGCTGCAGACCCTGGGAACGGAGACGTACCGGCCCAGCTCCGCCTCCCAGTGCGTGGCTGGGATCGCCTGCGCAGAGATCCCCATGAACCAGTGGCCAGAGCTCATCCCCCAGCTGGTGGCCAACGTCACCAACCAGCACAGCACGGAGCACATGAAAGAGTCCACGCTGGAGGCCATCGGCTACATCTGCCAGGACATCGTGAGTGCATTTCTGGTGCTCGGGGGAGGGTTTTGCTCCCAGGGTCTCCCCAGAACCTCCTTCTCCTCCTTTCTCCCTCCTGTGGTTGGGGTTGGAGCTGGATTTCAGGAAAGGTTCTTTCCCCAGAGGATGGTTGGACACTGAAACTCCCCAGGGTTTGGTCACAGCCCCAAGAGCTCAGGGAACGTTTGGACAATACTCTGAGGGACAGAGTGGGATTTTGGGATGTCCTGTGCCAAGGCCAGGGTTTGGGCTGGATGATCCTCATGGATCCATTCCAGCTCAGGGTATTCCATGATTCTCTGACTTGGCAGTCCTGGAGGGCTTTCCCAACCTTAAGCATCCCACGACTCCATCTCCAGGAGCTGTGGCTGGGGCTTCCCTGTGCTGCTTGTCCCTAATCCTGCTGGCAGAACTGTGGGAGTGAGCCCAGGGCCGGTGCCTGGAAGGCCTGACCTGCTTTCCCAGCCCAAATCCAGGCCGTGTTTCCTGAAGGGAAGGTTTAAAGTCCCCGTGTCCCTGCGGTCACACAAGGCTGGGGGGAGAACTCCGGCTCAGCATCCAAATGTTGGGTAAAACAGGGATAAAAAACAGGGACCAGTGTTTTGTGCCTTTCTGGTTTGGCAGAACCTGACCCTTCATGTTGGTGGGGGAGCCCCTTTGTTGTTGATTCAGGAATTTTTGAGGCAGGGGCAGGAGTGTTGAGCTCTTGGAGGCACCTCCTGCCAAACCTCTGGAAGGTTTCTCCAGGGTTTGCAGAACCTGGTGGGAAAACTGCGCTGGAAAATGGGATTTGCAGCTGCTCTTTTGGTGCCACTGAACGTCCTGGAGAACGTGTGTCCCTACTGGAATCTCTCTGGAGTGGGGCAGGAGGGGAAATGTTGTGCTTGGGGTTTTTGTTTGGCTTCGAGGGGTTGGTTCACTGGGGAGAGAAGTGAAATGAGAGGGGAAATCTGGTTGTGACGAGTCCCTGCGACTCTGGAGGGCCTGTTCCTTGGGTTTTTTTGGGTGGAATGGATCACTAACCTCCAGATTTTTGGGTTCCCTGCCTTGCTGTTTGGGTATTTTCCACCTTCAATTTATTTTACAAGATCCCTCCCCTTTAAAGTTTTATAGTTTTGTGACGGTAGTTTGGGAATCTTAAATTTTTCAGCTGGATAAATAAATTCTGATGTAGCAATTCATCCAGCTCCTTGTGGGTCCTGCAGACTTAATTTTGCCACAGAGAAAAATGAATCTTTGGTGTGTGTTCACAGCTTTATTCTTTAAGCCTTGAGTGTTTAACAGTGATTTAACAGTTCCCTGCCCTTGCTGCTGCTCCAGGCAGTGTGTTATGTGCTCTTATGTCTTAAAAAATATTGGCAAATTTACCAGTAAAAGTAGAGCTCTGCCCAGTCCATAAATTAGTTGGAAATCAGTTGGTTTTTAACATTCTGGGTGAGTGAAGTCAAGTCCTGGAGCTTGTTGGCTCGTGTTTGATACAGTGGGATTTATTTGGTGTTTATGACTTGGATTTGTGGGAGTTTTTG